GTCACTGTGACAGTGGGGGAAACCAATTATTGAGGTATCAAAAGTAGAACATCCTTCGAGAAGGCAGAAAACTTTTTTGTAAGATACATACATTTTTTTGGTTGGGTCGTGGCTCAGATTGCGGGAACTTTTGCGATGTTGGTATTCTTGTTTGTGCCGGGCATCCACATTGTTTCAACCTTCAGGCATGCTCGAATTGGTCTTCATATTTTGGATGCTCGCAAGGGCTGCCGGATGCTGCCCGTTGAAATGGACGGGCCGCCCGCTTGCAGTCGTTACAAAGGAAGGAGCGCCTTCATCGGGGGTAGGGTCCTCTAGGCCTTGTGAACAGTTACAAGGAGCTATCTCTTGCCAAGCACTGTATATATATATAGGGACATACAATAAGGACACTCTGACTCAGTAACATGGAAGTGAAGTTCCCCACCTCTTTGTATAGAGGAAAATCCAGGTACGACTCTTTCGTTATTCCCACGCACCGAAGGGGTTGAAAGCAACCGCAGGTTGACTGCATAGAACAAATATGTACAAGGTACCCTCTCCCCTAGACGATTCTTTGAGGTCCTCTCGGTCTCATAGTCTTCCTGCCGCTTACAGTCAAGCAGTGAAAGTGCTGGAACATGGTTTCTTATTGGGACCAGCTCCACTATTTCCAAAGCCGGACCCCTATTTCCTGCTGTTACTGGTTGGCCATGGGCCCGACCGTCGTTGTTGGATTATGGTTTTCTGAGTCGAGACCCAAAGCCTGATAATGTGTTGAAAGATCGATATCGAAGCCAGATCACTCTTGGGTGCATGTTTGTTGCATGTGGCTCAATGCGCTACCATGTGTTTGCAAAAAGGCAGAGAACTTTGAACCATTGATTTGTTAATTATCTTTAACGCTGTCATCCTCTTTGGTCCAAGTGTCATAGTAATTTGTTCCTGGTTGTGCCTCATCGGGTTTGCCAATCAGACTACAACATAGAGCTAAAGAATGCTAAAGACTCCACACTCACTTCCACCGTTGTGTTTTTCCCGTGTTCTCCCCTTCCGACGCCTGTTTCCTATGGCGGTGCTTGCCATGGACCGAGCGAACGGTGCGTGGGGAAACGGGGAAACCAGGAATGCAATCCACAATGTGTCACGTTCGCCCATAAATCGACGGCTCTATATATATATATATATGTGTACTTTAGATCAGGGAGAAAACCCTGGCGGTGGGTAAGTAGACTGGTCTGTTTCCCAAACGTTCCAGGGGGTGGAACGCCTGTGAGGTCTCCCTATTGTGATACTCAAATGATATGCAAGGTGTTTATTCAACTTGCTCACCGTGGGCTTACTAGTTGGTTTGTGAGAGGCTGCGGAAAGACACCCTGCTTTTGACCATCAAGTGAATGAATACCCAGAATCAGGAAACCACCAACACAAACACACCTGTCTCAGCCGTATCCAACCCGTTCCTTAAGGAGTTGATTATCTTTTGACAGTGCTTGGACATGTGCCTTGTTGATGGCTCAGGTTGATTTACCATTGGATTGACTTTGGATCTCGAAGAGTTGAACAAACACAGATCACACAAACACAGGTTGAATGTATAAAATCAAGGGTTTTTTTGGCTGGAAGGCTTCTCAAAAAGTGGTTTTGAGCTTTGTAACCTATCCCGTTTTTGGGGTTAAGGGTTCCCATGCAGGGAACGATTCCTATTCAGAGACAGTCACTTTTCTCCGCATAGTGGGAGTAAGTGGTTGCACTTTGTGGTTTTGGCAGAGACCCCCTCTTAAGGGGAGGACCCTTTCGCAGTTTCCCTGCATTCAAGCCAATACATTGTCCTTATGCGGGTTCATAATTGAAGCTCTGCAATTACAAACCAATACATTTTGCTTATGTGGGTTCTTGATTTAAGCATTGCAAATACAAACGCATACATTTTCCTTGTGTGTTCTTAATTGAAGCTTTGCAAATGCAAGCCAATACATTTTTCTTATGTGGCTTCTTAATTGCAGCTTTGCAAATACAAACCAATACATTGTCCTGATGCGGGTTCTTAATTGAAGCTCTGCAATTACAAGCCAATACCACCTCTCGCGCCAGATCTCGCGTGAAACGCGTCTGACATATGCACGACGCACAGGTCGTAACATAACAGAGGATCAGCCTCGGGCTGACTCAAAAATCGCACACGGGAATCTCCCATGACTCCAAGGTGCGGTTCGCGCCCCTCGCGAAAAGGTTGGCCACAAGTTCGAACCCTTCGGGTGGAACAAAGGGGGATGCATGTTCAATGCACCCCTGAGGAAGTACCCGGCCGCAACTCCGTGGTTTGGTCGAGTTGAAACTTCCCGGAAAAGCCTGAACACATGGATTCTTCGACAGAAGCAACAAGGTCTTGCGGATCAAATTGGTCAACTCTCGAAAAGTAAGCAGATCCGAATCTGCTTTCAAGCGGGCCCCAGTCACATGAAAGATGGCTGCAAGTTCACAGAAGGAAAAAGAAGCACCATGGGTCTCTTTCCATCTAAGTCCTCGAAGGAACGAGCATATCACTGTCCAGTTCTCTGGATGACTCTTCCATGTTTCGGGACATGGAATGTCGACCGGGATTTTGGGTTTCCAGCGAAAGGATGCTGCAGGGACATCCCAATCCCAGTGTGGATATCGTAGCCGGCATTGCGAAGCCGACAGCTTGTCAGGTAACTCTTGAACACCGTTCGACGTGTCAGCTGCAGGGTCACGGGTCGGCAGAAGGGAGTGCACTGAAATGAGCCACTTCTGATGAGAATGAATGGCAGCAACAAGGGTTTGCTTAAAATTTGGATCAATCGGTGCAAGCCGTATTGCAAGCTCACGTGCAGCTCTGTCAACAATTCTGTTGTTCGTAATATGTTGCAGCGTCGTATGGACACAGCGGGCCATGTCCTCTGTGACGAGCTCAATGGGAATGTGATCATACTGGTGGGCTGGGATCCACTCAATGCGAAACGGATTGTCTGTGTCAACACTCCGTTCAGTAGAAATCTGAGCCAGAGAGCACCACCACTGGAAACATTTCCAACTTGGATCGGGAGGGTGACCTGCAAAAATCTGACTTGCCTGCTTAACAACGGCTGCACAGTCGCTGTAAATGACGAGCTTCGTAGTGGCAGAGGACACCGCAACCAGAACTGCCCACAGCTCCGTACAGTAAGCGGACAAGGCAAGGTGGTTCACTTGCCCCTGATGAATGATGTTTTGCTGCTCATCAAGTACGGCGTAGGTTCCAGTGGCTAACCACACATTTTCCCCAAAGACAAGGGACCCATCCGTCCATACTTGGTGGGTAATGCTGCCACGGAATTCAGCAGAAACGGGCAATGCACTCGACTTGAGCTGTAGCAAGCGTCGTCGGGCGACGAAGGAAGGCTGATGTACATGTCCAAGCATAGCAAAGTTATTGCCAAGTTCATGGAGTACAGGTGATCCCAAAACATCGCGAATGGAGGCACATTGATGCACCAGGTGTATCATAGATTCTTTCTCACCCCCACAGAATCTGCAAGCAGCAGTGTCACTCCAACCAGTTGCAGCCATCCTGTCATTGGTAAGGCAGCACCCAACCAGAACAGATTCGAGCCGCTGGTGATTGGAAATCTCATCATTGTCATAGACCTTGGGAGAACGAAAGAACGATGTTGTCATGGCGTGATCAAAAACCTGTGTGGTTTTGACAAAGTCTTTGCGTGGCGTAGAGCTTGCAAGTTTGTAACATGCATCACGTGCAATGGCTTGCAAGATTCTGCGGACATCTTGCGGGGTAATATCCTTAATCGGGATAGGTTGGGAGTTGGCGAAGGAAAGGGACAAATCTTCTCCCACCCGAATGTTCAGGAAAGAACACGCACTCTCAAACCTGCTAGCAAGGGAATGGGGAAGCTTTTGAAAGACCCTGTACGTGGAAATCAGCTTCGGAGGAAGATCCGGATTGGAATGACAAGACCGAATGACCTCGAACACCGTATGGAAAGCGCTGGCAGTTCGGGGGTCAGTGCGATGAGGCTTGCCAAAAATCGCTTGGACCAACCATTTCGACCTCCACTTTGGCCGGCGTCCCCAAATACACCTAGAAATGGCATTTTGAATGACATCGAGTTTGGCCTTAGGGACACGCGAAATGTGGGATCCAAAGGTAAGCCTAGGGATGACTTTGGACCCAAGCAAGAAAACTCTGGTTGACATAGAGACTGGCAAGGCGCCAATATTTTCGATATCACAGATGATTTTCTTCAATGAGCCCTCTGAAAATCCGAAAGCACACCTAGCGGAAGTATAAATGCGGGTACCTAAAGTTTCGAATTCGAGTGTAACCGGAAACTCCGAGAACTGGGATCGGAGCGCAGTCCTTCCTTCAGCAGTGTTGCTCCACATGCTCGATTTCGCAATGTTCAGTTTTTGACCGGCAAGGTCGTCCCATATTTGTGTGACTTGAATCGCAGTATTGAGCTGCTGAATGTTTGCCAAGCGGCACCACAAATAGCTGTCATCGATATAAGCCCGAACAACAATGCTA